GATAATTATAGTAAGATTTTAGGAGGTATTTAAAATGAGACTTAAAGATTTGCATAGCTTCATCTTCACATTTCATACTCTTTTCTACATTTAACTAGCTAGTTTTAGCTAATTAAATGAATTATAGAATTGTCTTACTTAATTCAATTCATTTAAACATTTTGAGCACAGTTTTATGTAATTTATTTGCTTAAATTTAGTTGCTTACTTCATAAAAATAGATCAATTTTTATCTATTCTTTTTGACTGACTTCAGAAAAGAATAATAAATGATTTGTTGAGGCAATACTTGAAGCGACATTAATTGCATTTGATTAAAAACAATTTTAAAAAATGACAGATTCTCAATAATATCATCAACATAACTTTTCAAAAATGTTTTGTGAATATAAATTTCTTATTCAATTTATAGTAATGGAAATAATAGCTTGAACTGTTACAACGTTCTGTTTGGTTCTAATAGTAATAATTGAATTAATTTGTTTTATTGAAAATAATAGCTTGAATTGTTACAACTTCTGTTTGGTTCTAATAGTAATAATTGAATTAATTTGTTTTATTAAAAATAATAGCTTGAATTGTTACAACGTTCTGTTTGGTTCTAATAGTACTAATTGAATTAATTTGTTTAGAATACTTTTTAAGAAGTTTGTTATCAAATCTAACTGAGCTAATAAGTAATTAAAAATTTAATTAAAAAAAATTATTTTTGCTGACAAGTTTAAAAAAAAGGACGTAGAATACAATGAAATTCAATAGATTAATATTAAATTTAACAAAAATTATTTATTTGATACATTTTGCATTTATAAACTTACTGAATGATTTTAATTTATTTGTCAGGAATCCATGCTTTGCTGATAAAGAAACAATCTCATCGCTTTCGTTAACAGAAGTCGAACATCTTGACACTGTACCATTTGTACTCTCAATGATTATATTTTTTCAATATATGATAATTTATTGCTTCTAAGACAGTTCAACTTTTCCAGCATTAAGAGAGAATATTTATTAGCTTAAATCGACAGCTAGCAGATATTTCAGTAATATTGAAGTTTATTATTCCAATTTATACGTCAAGAATTTTTGCGTCAAAATTAATAATTTACATACATGTTTAAAAAGTGAATGCTAATACTGAATTATTATTTTGTAATTGAAAATTTGATGAACGTGTTTTTTTCTATTCACGTAAATATTGATTGCTTAAGTTTCAAAATTAAATCATTTTTTGAAAAAAATTCATTGAAAATTGCATTAAAAGATGTGATACTTCATACTGTTGCAGAATTATGATAAAGAAGTGGCTATAATTCAAATTGTTGATGATGAATTGGCTTTAGAAACAGTTAATTTTGTACAAACTGAAATTCAAGTATGTCAGTTTTATTCATTAAATTGGTATTTAAACAACTTTTTATTCTATTAAATGTGTAGAAGTATTTGTAATCATTTGATTATTAGCTTAAAAAAGTGAATTAGTTCGCATTTTCAGGGAATTTTCATAAAAAACATATATAATTTTTTCTCACGTAAATCCGCACGTTTTCTTACGATGAAAAAACTTAAAACCGTGTTTTAATGATTATTTTTGAAGGTAATGGAAGAAATTACTGATTCACAGATGTTGATGGCAGTAGCAACATCTACAGAGTACGTTGATGAAACCAATGAAGATGTAAGCAGTGAAGCACCAAGTAGCAGTACTAGATCAATCAGCCCAATTGACTGTAAAGGTTATTTTTATCGATCTTTGAACAATACTATATTAACTTTGATACTCAAAATATTAATAATTTTTGAATTCTGACTATATTAATAAGAATAAATATTAAGATATAAATTTTAGTTGCATACGATATCCGATTAATTTATTGGTATGATCAAATTTTGCTGACAAGTTTCATAGACTAATTTATTTATTTTCCATACAAATAAAATTTAGTGATATTTTACGGCTTAACTGATCCATTTTTTGGCAAGATTAAATTCTTCTGATGATTAAATTCAGACAATCGTTGACATGCTGATCATACAACTGTACAGTAGTTTCAAATGAAATGCCCTGTAATCATGCACTTTGTTTATGTTTTAAAATTGAAAACTTTAGGTAACAAATTTTAAATAACAAACTTTGTGGTTTTAAAGTATAAAAGTTTCATTTTGGAATTCAATTTCGCTTTTTCAGATTTTATGTTCACTACTTTAACAGATATTATTTTCTGATGAATAAATTAGAGTGCAAAATTAACTTTACAGTACCTCGTAATTTCCGAGAAAAAAAAGAAATGTACGGTCGTAATGCTCCAAAACTTTTCGAGACATATCGAGAAGAATGGGAGCGCATAGCACACTTATCGGATCGACGACGACTTGCTGCAAGTCCATCACGTCGCAAATCCATTCTGCTTTTGACACCAAAACAGTCACGTCCAAGAGAGTCATCTAATGATCGTGGAGATTTTCACAATGATAATAGTCTAATCAATGGTCACAGCAAAAAATCCTACAAAGATTAACACTTATTAAACTTTATTATATATATTAAGTCTTTGTCAATTTTTCTTTCAAAAGTTTTGAAAGCTCATTATTGGTCTTTGAGGATCTTATTTTATTTGATTCCAATAAATGACAATTTCTGGATGGTTATTGATAGTATGATCATATTTCGAAATGTTGCTTTAAGTTACAATAAATTTATAATTTTCCAATTTTTGATAATTAATTGATTTATATATTGCAGTTTGAGCTACTCAGAGTATGAGTGATAAGTTTACTCAAAATCTTACAAGGCATAAATATGATCGTTTTCTTTGTAGTTTCTTTTAGTAAGCGAGAAGATACCAAAATTACTACAGTAGTAATTCGCAAAGGTGAACTTAGAATGAAATGATCTATGTAAATTAAATTAATATGTATTCTAAAAGAATAACTGTTCAAAATATACTTTTCATTCATTTCTTCCCGAACTGCCTAAAATATGCAATCCTTCAACTTCATAACTCTTTCTGACTCATTCAAGAATCGACTGTCATCAATTAACATGAGTTTCTGGACATTAGCTCGAATAATACAACTCTCAAATGGGCTAATATTACCATAAAAAATGAACTAATGACAGAACTGTTGTGATAAAAATGCAAATCCAAGAAATTTGCATATTGTAGAAATACTGATCCATGTTTGATACTGGAAGTAAATAAATACAAACATCAAATTTTGTGGAAATTTTCATATTGCCATTAATGTATTATTAATTTCCTCTATAATTTAATTAGTAAAAAAAATTTTTAATTTAAATAATAAGAAAAGGTTGTTGGGAATGAAATCAAGAATGTCTAAGCAGCGCTTTCGTCTCAACGAAAAATGCAAAGCAAATTAATTCATTTCTCGAAAAACGCTTCTTCATTAAATGCAAGCAACTAGCTTTCTGAGACTTTTTTCAAAGAACAGTAATGATTGACTTGAAGAAATATATTTTCTTGACATAATTATTTTGTAGTTAATTAATTATGTTGAGGGAGTAAATTAATTCACTGAATTGTTGTCTTCCACCAGTCAATAGAATATAAACGTTGAAAGCAATTAAATGACAGAAAGTGATAAAAGCTAAAACTGAGAAACGAACGAGTCATAAAACTGTCCAACATTTCATCTCAACTGCAAGTAATGAAAGAGAACATATGTTAAAATCCACTAATGAATGTTTTGAGATTCTCAGTGCGATTTTAATAATTTAATAAAATGATGCATTATTTAGTATCCTAAATATGCAATATTTAATATATGCATAAAAATACAAATCGTGAAGATATTTTTTCATACTTATTATTGATAGACAAACGATCATATTGCATAACATCACAAGTTAAAGCAGATGTGCTGTTCAACGAATGCTAAGAAACGGTGCGGATGAATTCAAATGAATTGTCTGAAGAGAATTCGTGCCTCGCTTGAGATGAAATGTGATTTATGGCTGTCCCTCTGAGAGACAAGTCCTTATAGAAGGAGTCATTCTCTTTAAGGGCGCAGACGAGTAAAGTAGCTTGTTATTGGGTCATTTTTGCAGCTGGCCAGAATGCAGGGAAGCGTAAGTGTGAGTGTTTACAACTCTCAAATGTATTTGTGTCTCAGCAATTGCTGTAAGTAACGTAATTGTAGATAATAGCATCAGTAAAAGTAATTTGAAGAAGTAAGCTGCTTGGTAGCTCGGATGTTGTAGTAGTATTTACTCTTGGTCGGTTTTATTGAGTATGCTTTGAGCTGATCATTCCTTGTGCTGCACATGGAATTTCACCAACCTGTTTATTACTTGGTGTAAAGTCAAACATTCCAAGACGGACGTAAAAGCATTTACTATCCAGTTGTTTAGACTGTGCAAGAGTTGTTTTCGAAATCAAAATATTAACTACACAATTCACAATAAATCATTTGTTTTCTAAGCACTTCGCAGTTTTTCTCGGAGATCAAGTGATAAGTGTGATAATTATATGGTGCCATTCACGTCTTTAAGTACTAAATGGCTTGGCTCAACTCGATAAAAAGACAATATCAGTGGCTTATCTACCACTAATAAAGCAAAGGGAAGTCCAGTATCGAAGTGAAAATTCTGAAAGACTTACGTCAGCGACAATATTTTATAGTATGCCCGAAATGGAAAAGCTCTGTGCGCAGTTACTCTGCAAGTTAAAGTATTTTCAACGAATGCCAGAAACGCTTTTTACTCTTTGCAATGCGATTGACCGACGGAGGCGAGTTTGTGCTTCGCTCGCAATGAAATGTGATTTATGGCTGACATGATTTATAGCTTGCAACTGAGACACGCACTTTCTTATCTGCCAGACTCACAAACGATCTCATTTGTATTCTTTTGCTTTTCTGTAGAATACCGCATGTCTCATGTGAAATAATCATCTGGATAATATTTATTTCTGGCAGTTTTCGAGAGTAAATAATCAATATTCCCCTGCAACTGAAATGTTTCGGAGGGAATTTCCATGTTTTTCATTGAGTGGCACACATTTAGTGCTCAAAAATTGATCATACATTGGGGTGATCGGTTTGGATTTGCTTTCTTTTCGTAACTTCTCAAACATACTTTCTGAAGGCGCTTATTCTGCGTAAGAAAGTTATTGCAGTGTGCGTTTGGCATGTGATTTATTTTCATCGTTTGAGGGGATGAATTACTGCTTACTTTTCAGTATTATTTTTTACTTCAATTCTTTAGCTTTTTTCATTTTATATTTTTGCAATCTTTTTTAATCTCTTTCCAATTTTCTCTTACTTTCGTCATCAGTTATTTTTTTCAACTTTTATCTGAAACGGTCAAATTCACAGCAATAAAGAATATATTTACATTTCTTAGATTATGAAAAAAAATTATAAAATGATCTGAAATTGTGAGTAGTCAATAAATAAATACTCAAAGAACTGAAGCCATATTTGAATA